AGAACATTGTGTAGCACAATATCAGATCTAAGTCGTAAAGATCCAGTAGATAAAACCTTTACTTTATAGCCATTTGGTAAAGTAATTAAGTAGGGTCTAGTTAATGGTTGAAGATTGTGAAGAAAATGTTTGTGAGGTGTCATGTGGTTAGTTGCCCCTGAATCTAGAATCCAAGTGTCAACAGTTAATTGGGAAGATGCACAAGCATGAAAATCCACAGAGTTAACCACAGAACTGCAAAACAAACCTGCAAAACGGGCATATGCATGATTATCTCCAGAATGAGAGTCACTTGAGCTCCCAGAAGAAATGTGTGTTTGCTTCAGGAGATTAAGTAGATGTTGATACTGTTCAGCAGTGAATCCATGGTTGATAGGTGGAAGATGTTCCATGTGTGAGGCTAGTGGGGTAGAGGCAGTATCCTCAACTTGAACACATGATGCTGATCTCTTGTTCTTGGTAAACTTGAAATCAGCAGGAAAACCATGAAGCTTATAACATTTTTCAATAGTGTGACCTGGTTTTTTGCAGTATCTGCATGACATGGATTGTCCAGGTTTCTTTGGTTCAAACTGAACCTTCTGATTAAATGATCTCTGCCCAGCAGGGTACTGTGGATATGCTGAAGGAGTAGAAGATGCAGAAAAGGAGACAGAATCACTAGAAAAACTTGGGGCTGGAGAGGTTTCCCTTTGTCTCTCGTCATGTTGTAACATGGAGTAAGCTTTACTAATTGATGGAACTGGTGAGATCATGAGAATGTTGCTCTTGACAGTATTGTATGACTCATTCAGTCCAGCTAAAAACCAATACAGTTTCATCTCATCAAGAAATTTTGGTAGAGCAACACATGAGCATGTAGGACCTACATATGCAGTCTGAAGCTCATCCCAAAGACTACAAAATTTGGTAAAATAAGAGGCTATGTCTAAGGTACCCTGGAAAATGGTTCCAATCTCCCTTTGTATCTGAATAAATTTGGAACCATTAGACTGGCCAAACCTCTCATTTATGTCCGACCAAATCTCTTTTGCAGTGTCATATCCTAGAACACTGGTGGCAATATCTCTAGATAGGGAATTAGTGATCCATGCAACCACCATATCATTAAACCTTTCCCAGTAGGGATAATAAGGTGAATCACTAGTAGGTTTAGACTGACGACCATCAATCAGTGCCAATTTATTTTTGGCAAAAAGGGAAACTAGCATACTTTTACGCCAAGCAACAAAACCAGTACCATCGAAAGGAGGAGATACCAGATGAGTGTCGGGACTGTCTGAGGGATGAATATAAAAGGGATGAGTGGGGTCTAAGGTGAAGACAGTGAAACCACCGGACTGATTAGAGATATTCACACTCTCATCACCCATTTTGTATCTAAAATTCTCAATTACAGTAGGAGTATACCAGAAATTGAAACATGCATTTAAGGAATTTGAGAAGAAAATACCGTCATTTTTCGCAACCCGAAAAAGACAAGGCCTTCAAAATCGATTAAACTCCGGAGTAGAAGAAGAATTGTCGGTTGAAATCAGAAGAATACCTCGAGCTAACCTCCATTAAAACTCCAGAAAACATAGTTGAGATGAAAAAGAAACCCCAAAACAGAACAAGGGTTTCGATATAGCCAAAATTTGTAATCAACAATCTCTACGGGTACGATCGGATGAAGATAATCGACGACAGGAACTCATATCCTGCTCTGATACCATGTTAAAAGTGGGAATTTGCAGAAGCTAGGAGATGTTTCCATGGTGAAAACTCAGAGAACGAGAGAGAGAAAACTGAGAAAGTATCTGATCTCCTTTATTCGAAAATGAATTGTCTAGCCTTTCTAGAATAGTCCATAGTCTTTTTATATGTACATAGAATTTGGCTATATAAAATAAGTGTAGAAAATGGGCTATCATACTAAGTAGTATACAACTGAAAACTGAAAATAGTGCAACTATTGGGCTGAGCCTGTTGTCAGTTGGGCTGTGTATTTGTGTATGTCAACAGATTAATCCAATGCAGATTTCGACACCGAATGGAAAACAAAAATAATTAATTTCTCTAAATTAAGTATATAAGAACCTAGTTTGTTCAATAGTTTTCATGCATTACCATGCATAAAATCATGTAGTGGATAAAGGGATAAAGCTAATGGTATAGGGGACAATCATTGTAAAACAATTGTTATTTTATTGTGCATATCCTGACGCTAGATTTGGGTAATCTAAGCTCTCTTGAAGCCAAACATTTTCGAATAAAATTACAAAAAGAACTTGCATGTTTAATGCAATCTTCTCAAAAAGTAATAAGATCTTTTTTCTCAAAAAAATAGAAAGAACTTGCATGTTTAGTGCCTTTTCTGTACAAAAATTATTAAGATCTTTTCCAATAATTAACCAACAATTAGGGTGTGCGTGTGTGTAAAACTAGGTCATTTTATTTATTATCTTCATTATTAGTTGCTACACTCTAGGTTATAACTAATGAAATCGGGACTTGAGGGTTTCGTTTTCGTAGAATCCTTTCCATCGTAGGCGGAGCTAAGATATGAAACTTATGAAGTTGAGATTCTAATCAAGAGAAGGCAAAAAAAAAATCAGTGGGGACGAGCATTCTACTAACATAGTAGAGTGGATAGCTATGATTAAGTTAATAGGTTCTAAATTAATAATTTGACCGTACTTAATGGATCTCTTAAAACAAATATATGATGAATCAAAACTGTTGGACTTTAAGCCATTGGGCTTTAAAGTAAAAGAAGTGTGAATTAGAAATGGAGGAAAATAAAATGGAGGGAAAAATGAAAATTTGAAGAAGTGAACTTCTGTCTTGCACTTTGTCCCTCATTGGTGAGGGACAATCACAGTTGTGTGCTTATATATAGAATCACTTCTTAAAGCTCTTAAAAAGAGTTGAAGAGAATGAACCCTCGCGCCGTCGTCGTCGCTCGCTCGGCTTCGGCTTAGTAGAGTGGATAACTATGATTAAGTTAATAGGTTCTAAATTAATAATTTGACCGTATTTAATGGATCTCTTAAAACAAATATATGATGAACCAAAACTGTTGGACTTTAAGCCATTGGNACGGGACTACGTGACTATGAAATGACGTGATACATATGTATATATACATAAACTTTAAAACGTACGTACCTCTGTGGCGATCATCATCATCATATCGTACCCGGCCGTAATAGGCTCGGTAAAAATGTACCCGGCCACGTGGAGCTCGGTAAAACCCAACTGATCAGTGGTTGCACAATAGGTGCCGTACCCAACCGACTATAGCGCGGCTCGGTAGAAAAAAATAGATACATATATATATATAATGCATGCTCGACTCATGGACTCACGTTCTAAACCTTTCGGAGTGACGTAAGGTCGGTGTCCTCTGTACACATTATTAGGACTAACTCTTCACCATGAACCATATAAGAATCAGGAAGTACCAATAACATTGATAACATAAGAATAAGAGAAGCAACATCAACATCAATCATTCCATAAGAGGGGAAACAATGTAAGTACTGCTAGCTTCTAAGAGTAGAGTATCTTTGGAAGCTCGTTCATTACATTATTTACAATCGGAGTCGTGCAAAAGAAGGAAAGGGATAGCCTCACATACCTTGTATATACTGCCCCAATCTCGAGCTATGCAATTTTCACGACTCCTTAGTCTACAATAAGAGAAACGATATAATTGCCTATAAATTCTGAGGCAAGGCTCCATTTTCTATACACGAAAAACACTCCAGAAACTTTTTTCTTTCTGAATATACTGCATTCTAATTCGCAGTCAATCTCTCTCCAATCCGTAAGTGTGATTTTGCTTTGGATTTGTCAAATGATCGATCGATAAGATTATTTTTGGACAAAATTTATTTAATAATTAATTAAATGCCAAATCACTGCTGAAACCCTGCTGAAGAGGTTCTGCCGTAACCGCGGTAGAACCGCGGCAGGCAAATTCAGAGAGCCTCTCTGACCGCGGTTCTGCCGTAACTGCGGTAGAACCGCGGCAGGCAGCGTATTCTTTTGAAAAGGCACCTTTTCCAGACACCTCTTCTGATAATTGCCTATAAATTCTGAGGCAAGGCTCCATTTTCTATACACGAAAAACACTCCAAAACTTCTTTCTTTCTGAATATACTGCATTCTAATTCGCAGTCAATCTCTCTCCAATCCGTAAGTGTGATTTTGCTCCGTTCTTTGAGTTCGTTGGGATCCTGCAGTTTGTATTGCCACTGTTGCAGGAAGGTTTATTCCGTTTTATCCTGGGAGGATTTAATCCATTACCTTGGCAACTTGTGAAGGGGTTAAAATTCCTTAAGGACACACAAGAAACTTGTGGACTCGGAATATTTCTGATTCTTTACTATTTTTTCAGATTTCTTTAATTCTTCTAACAGTTTTGTTTTTCCTGATTTTGTGTTTTAACACAGTAACGCTCACAAAAACTAGTGAGTTCGAGCGAACCCGTAACCAAAAGGCTAGCTAGCGAACCCGTAACCAAAAGCATAAATTTTTTATGCGACTATCAGGTTATTTATTAATATAATTACACTAACGATCCATAAAAATTGAGTAATCTAAAAAGTAAGATAAATTACCGACTAAATCAAGTTAAGATACACGAGACTAGAATTTTTTTTATATTATCGGTACGTTTATTCATTTATTCCATATCAATTAAGGGGAAAAAGAGATAAACCACACTATGATTATCTATTATGCCATATAATTTTATTAACTTTCAACATAGAGAAAAACACCAAAGGAGGAAAAAAGAAGAAGAAAAAAGGTTAATGGTGATCATATACTAATTAAAATAAGACCACCTTATAATAAACTCTAGGATGCATGCAAAATCATGTCCTAGTTTCACATTTCTCCTATATATATATATATATATATATATATATATATATATATATATATATATATATATATATAT